CCCCCCTCCCCCACACCATTTATTCGATACCTTAGAGTAGTGCTTTCTAAATAATCTCAAAAGGACGAATGTAAGCCGTAAGGTTTATCGTAAAAGTGATAGTTTTTTTTACTAAGCCTCGATTTTGCGATATAACACGTGATTTTCTAAGCATTCTCAAAATGGTAAATGTAAGGTTCGTGTTAATAAAAGGTGTTGTTCTTTTTTTTAATGCTTCAATTCTGAGTTACAATTTTAATGATTTTCTAAGCCTTTTCAAAATGGCGAATGTAAGGTCCATCTTTATAGAAGTGATTGTTTCTCTTACTATAGATCAATAGCTTCGATTTTGGGTAATGGCACCTTTTGATTAATGTAAACCCGTTAGTGTAATCTTTTTTCTATACATATATCTTTCTTTAACTTAACAAAGAGGCTCCCCCCCCCCAAAGACCAACTTTTAAAAGTCTAAGTCTATAATCTCAAAAGTATCCACCACAGATGAGTAGCAAAATCTGTTATCTTAAGCCAAACCCCACGAAAAAATATGTGAGACAGCGTGGTGGAATCAGGCTCTCGTCAATTTTTGGGCACGTAGAGAGATTGGTATCATCTTAAAGCTTGTTCACTTGTCTTTATTTGGATGAAAAAAAATATCCATTTATCTTGAATACAAGTCGAGATATTTGCGAAAGAATGAGGTAGAGGTCACCTGTTTTCAGAGGTGAAATTAGTGAGAGAATGGCCGCCAAAGATTAGTTATTTCCTTAGCTCAAGAGTCCGTGGTTACTGATAATGTACATTTTTTTGTTCCTTTAATCAAAGTTTTCCAGAAAAATTTACACTGAAATGAGTTCTTTAATGAGCATGAAAGGTGATGAGCCAAAAAACAAAAAATGGATAAAAATTCAAAAACCTGCGGAAAAATGCAAGTTTCTTCAATTTGATTATTTTGACGAGAGCCTGATTCCACCACGCTGCCTCACATATGGTCTGTAAAAAAATTATACCTTAATCAAGGATGGGTTCCGTTTGCTTCAGAGAAAGAAACAAAGCCTTGAAGATACGCCTGAATTTTGAACTCATTTTGATATACAGCACAATGTTTATAGAGCTGTTGATACCTTGTAAGACCTGCATAAAAGATACACAAACCACATGTACGTTATGATAAGCTCTATCCAAGAAAAACTCATGTACTAGTTCTATGGCCAGAAACATTGCGCCGTTGGGCATGAAGGTAATGAGGAACACTGCAGCGATGAGCAATACCATTTTGGCTACTTGAATGTCCTTGCTCTGTTTCGGTGTGTTTCCTTGTGATCGGGCGGCGCCCGTTTGTGACGTGGCTTTATTTTTGGAACTCTCCCACTTCCGGCGACGCTGAATAAGTGCGTAAACCAGGATGACTGAGAACACATAGACGAAGAGGACAGAACCTGCTGTCACAATGACACCTGTTACCATAACAAATTGTTCGATGGCATCTTCATTGTCGTTGTAAACTATTCCGATCAACGTCTTGTTCTTCCCGGGATCGAAGATAGGAGCGAGGCTGGAGTAGGCAAAAATTGGGAGTAAGGACAGTAGCACAAGAAAGAGTGTAGCAGCAAGACAAATGGCTGTCTTTTTCTGGGTGAATATTCTGTGTACATGCAGGGGTGCTATGATACACAGGCAACGCTCCATTGTCACGAAAGCAGTGATCACGCCTGATGTCCTGTTGAAAAGGATAATAAAATTCATAAATAAAACACACACACACATACACAGACACACTCATACACACATAAAAAGCACACACACACCTACATACACACACAAACAAACATGCACACACATGCACACGCGCATGCATGCACACACGCGCTTCCGCACATACACAAACACACTCACATACACTGTATACTAGTAGACTCACTCACGCCTACACTCATGTATACACACCTTAACACGCACACAGGCATGGACACACACACACACACACACACACACACACACACACACACACACACACACACATACGCACACAGGCACACACACACACACACACACACACGCGCGCGCTCGCGCGTGCACGCATACCCGTACACAATTAATTACTCTCGATCCACTCTGGATCACCTGGTCCGCCTGGAGACCTTTATACGCGAGACGTTCGCTGAAAAAGGCCACATGATCGCCATCTTTTTTTACCTAGAAAAGCCTTCGACACAACCTGGAAGTACGGCATTCTTCGAGACCTGCATGCACTCGGCATACGCGGTCACCTCCCTGCCTTCATTGGCAACTTCCTGAAGAACCGTTCCTTCCAGGTTCGTGTCGGATCCTCCCTTTGAAACCCCCACCAACAGGAGGAAGGAGTCCCCCAGGGGAGCATCCTGTCTCCTCTCCTATTTGAAATTAAAATAAATTCCATAGTGAAAACACTCCAAAACAGCATAGACAGCTCGTTATACGTTGACAACTTTTTGATATGCTGCCGTTCGAAAAATCCTCATTTGAGATCTATGGAAAGGCAGCTGCAAACGCAGCTGCACAAACTCGAAACGTGGGCAAACAATAACGGTTTCAAGTTCTCCCCGTCAAAGACGGGTGCAGTACACTTCTGCCGAACAGGCAGACGTGTGCTGCAGCCGGATTTGACACTATACGGGGAAAGGATTCCCGTCCAGGACCAAGCTCGTTTCCTCGGCGTCATTTTGACAAAAAACTCACATTCATACCACACATCAAAGACCTTCGAGTGAGGTGCCAGAAAGCGTTAATTAAACGCTTTGAAAATTCTATCGAATCCGGAGTGGGGCGGAGACTCAAAACACCTTCTCCACTTGTACATCTCCCTTGTCCGGTCCAGGCTTAACTACGGCTGTCAAGTCTACAGATCGGCAAAACCACACATTCTAAAAATGCTAGACCCAATACAGAACCAAGGACTCCGCCTCGCTCTGGGGGCTTTCCGCACTTCTCCGGTGGAGAGCCTCCAGGCCGAGGCCAACATACCACCACTCTCACTCAGACGCACACAACTCTCACTACAATACGCAGTTAAACAGAGCTCAACACCGGAAAATCCAGCGCACGACTGCATTTTTAAAACGAAACCATAAACAAATTCCAAAACAACAAAAATCTCATCAAACCCTTCGGCCTCAGAATCCTTGAGGACCTTAAAAACTTACACTTTTCCAAACAAGACGTCCAACAAATTCTTTTCCCCGACCTCCCTCCGTGGCACCTCACCAAGGCAAAAGTAGATTTACAACTGACCACACACAACAAACAAAGCACACACACCAAAACTTTTAAAGCAGAATACAAAAAACTAATAGATAACTACCCCGGTGCGGAGCTCATCTTCACAGATGGCTCTAGAAAAGACAGTGAAGTGGGCGCCGCAGCCCTATCTTCCAACAGTACACACCAGAGGAGACTTCATCCTGAAGCCTCCATTTTCTCTGCGGAGGCCACTGCCATTGACATTGCACTGGACTCCGTAGAAAACTCTCCTAACAAATCTTTCCTTATCCTTTCTGACTCTCTGTCTTGCATCACCTCAATGACAAACTACACACTCCTACATTCAAAAATAGTTAGGCTACAACAGAAAATTCATACACTATCCGAAACAGGAAAAAACATCATGTTCGCATGGATACCCAGCCATGTGGGCATCCGAGGAAACGAGCAGGTAGACGACCTGGCAAAGAAAGCTTCATCCCTTCTCCTGGGATCAACGACAAACACCCTCCCACAGACTGACTTTAGAAATAAAGTCAAAAGGTACACCTCCAGTCTGTGGGAGAGCCACTGGGAAAAGCAGAAAAATAATAAACTATATGAAATAAAACCCAAACTAGAACAGCGAAATCCTTCGGACCTCTCCAGAAGAGACGAAGTCATTTTTACTCGATTGCGAAACGGACACACGGCCCTGACCCACAAATACCTCCTACAGGGAGATGAGAAGCCGTTCTGTGTCGGATGCGACACAGATTTTACCATTAGACACATCTTAACAGAATGTCTAGACTTTGGAGAGGTCCGAAGGAAATATTATAAATGCAAGAAATTGCAAGATATTTTTTCCGTCGTTGTTCCCAGCAGAATTTTGAATTTCATAAAGGTCATCGGCCTTTATGGCAAGTTGTAAAATGAAAAATGAAAACGTACTATTTAAAAATTTTATTGTTACCTATAAGAGTTGTTTTAAATCACAAATATATTTACACTGAATTTTAATATTTTAACATTTTAGCATTTTAAAGTCAATTAGTTAACCAATCGTGCTGTGAACTTTTGCGAAAGTAAACAACTTGTGATTCGCGCGCTCATATGACCTTAGCAGTTACGAGCGCCGTAAAACCCTATACTACATACATTCGCGCGCTCATATGACCTTAGCAGTTGCGAGCGCCGTAAAACCCTATACTAATACAATAAAATACAATTAATTACTTTACTTTCTACGTTTTCCTTCCTCTGGCGTCCTTAGGGTGTCGAGGGAAGGTGGAAGTTTCGGTCCTGTGCTAGGTGTGTAGCGTCTGTGATAGATATGTTATGTTGTTCCATGGCCTTTTAACCCCATCCAGCCTGGTCTTTCTTGGTCTTCCTCTTGATTTGAAGCCGGATTCTCGGGTTTTGTAAGCTCAAGTCGCTGGTTGTTTCTGTGGCATTCTGGTTAGATGTCCAAACTATTTGACTCTTTGACGCTCTATGAATTTTATTACTTGTGGTATTTCAGTTTGTAGACGTATGGTTTTATTTCTTATGTGGACTCTTCTGGTGACGTTGATGGTTTTGCGGAGACACCTCATTTCGCATGCATTGATTTTTCTTTCTTGTGCCTTGTTTAGAGACCATGTTTGGCACTGGTATGTTAATATTGGTATGAAGATGCTGTTGATGATCTGGGACTTCACTTCGGTTGGGATGCTCCTGTGGCTAAGCAGAGGTGATAGCTGGTAGGTCACTGCATTTGCCTTCATAGTTCTTGTTTCTCTTTCTTTGTCCATACGCCCATCTTGTGTGAAGATGCTTCCCAAATATTTAAATTCCTCTATTTGTTGGAGCTGTGTTCCATCAATAACTATGTTGAGTTTCCCTGGGTTTGTGCTGACCTTCATAACTTCTGTTTTTGAGATGGAGACTTTCATGTTCATGTCCATTCCTCACTTAGTTTTGTGGTGTGTTTTTGTAGTTCCTCTTCATCTGTATTTAATATTCTCTGGTCATCAGCAAATAGAAGCTCGTTCAGTTCAGTGATGTTGTCATTTGCTGCTTTCGTGATCTTATCCATGTAAGTGATGAAGAGAAGCAGAAAGAGAAAACGCCCTTGACTCACCCTAGACCTGATGGGGAACCAGTCCGATAGTCCTTCTGGAGATCTTACGGCACACAGGCTGTTTTTATAAAGTGCCATGATATTCTCCAACAATTGTCCTCTTACACCATATTCCTCTTAGACTTCCCTAAGTTGACATCTATCTACACGGTCGAACGCCTTTTCTTGATCCTCGAAGACGATATTGAGGTCTTTGCAATATGCAATGACTGTCTCACACAACACATAATTAATTACAATATACGTAATAAAGATGTGTGGGTTGAAAATTCTCCTTAAGTCTTGAACTTTTGGTGACTTTGGCATCAAATGTTAGAATTCAACCAAACAGTTGGCTACCCTAGAATTGCGAAGTTCTATCTGCTTAGTACCCAGTTTCGAGAAATCTGACGTAAAAAAATTTTAATTTTCACGAAATGCTAAGTTTTTCGAATGCAATTCTATAAGTATGTTGATTACGTTTCCAAAACAATCTTACAATTTTGATACAGCAAATAGAACAGTTGGTTTCTGACCTCAGGGTCGTAGTACCTCCAAATGGCAAACAATGTCAGATAGAACTTTGTAATTCGGATGTAGCCAGCTTGAAAACTTACTCAGTATATCTTTGATATGTAAAATTGTGTTACATGGAGCTGAGGCAAGAGCTTATTTAGTTTCTTTGGAAACTGAAATAAAGTTAGGCCAGGAAAATATAATAAAAGTACATGTAGCAGTCAAAATAAGAAAAACAACAGAAAAAACCCCAACAAATTAAGAAAGCATCATGTCCTCTTCATAAAATTGTTTGTTCGTAGAAATGGCAAAACATCTCTTCAACTTCAAGAAAAAAAATGGTTATGAAACAATCATAATGTTTCCAACATTACGGGGGTAAAGTTGTTGGGGGGTTTTTCAGAAAGGAAACAATACTTTTATATCTGAAATTTCTTATGAAAACAGCTTGAAATTTCCTTCAAAGATTGCACCACCAAAAAAAAACAAAAATAACTTTAAAAATTCACAAACTTTGCAACCCGTTCTCAGAGTCTGTGCATATAGAATTAACGTATGGTCATACATATTTCCAGGATTAAAACCATAATACTGTATGCCCTTTTGACATACTTGTAACATTTTAGGCAACCATGACAAAACTCATATGCTGGGGGCCTTATATAGCCTATCACCAACAAATTCACAAGCACGAGATATGGTGCCACGGGAGCTTCATAATACGATATTCTTAAAGCATAATTCATGCATTAATACGGTTTATGTTTTGGCAAGGTTTTTTTTACGACGCTCGCAACTGCCTAAGGTCAAATGAGTGCGAGGGACAAATAAAACTTTTCAGTTTGGTAGG